CCGGTCCAGCCCGCCCTCCCCCCATGTCGATGCGGGGGGTGACGCGTCCCATCCGTGTCCCGCAGGCTGACGGACGAGGAGCTGATGCGAGCGTGCGGGGGCCGCACAGCACACAAGTAAGTGGTTGGTGGAGGCTGCACGGTTGGGCTCCCCGCTCCTTTTGAGCAGGCTGGGCTGGGGGGCACGTTCCCTGCCAGGGAGGTGCCAGACCCCGGCTGCCCATGATCATTGCAGGGGTGCCCGTCACGGCCTGACCATGAGCGCCAAGCTGGCGCGCCTGGAGGAGCAGGAGCGAGCCTTCCTGGCCACGTACCGACGTAAGGAGTGGCAGCTTGCGCCCCCAGAGAGGAGCCCCCCAGCAGAGAGGCAGGCAAAAAAGAAGAAAAAAAGGAAACAGTCCAGGGATGGAGCCGATCCCGAGGTGCTGCAGAGCCGGGAGCCAAGCAGAGAAGAGGAGGTGACAGGAGAGGAAGGGAAGGTGGTGAAGAGGAAGAAGAAGAAGAAGAACCAGGAGGCAAGCAGAGAAGAGGACGTGGCAGGAGAGGAAGGGAAGGCTGCAAAGAGGAAGAAGAAGAAGAAGCAGGAGGAGGAGGAAGACAAAGAAGAGCCAGTTGAGACAGAGAAGAAGAAGAAGAAGGAGAAGGAGGACAAAGAAGAGCCAGCTGAGACAGGGAAGGAGAACAAGAGGAAGAAAAAGAAGAAGAAGAAGGAGAACAACGAAAAGCCAGTTGAGACAGAGAAAGAGAACAAGAGGAAGAAGAAGAAGGAGGAGGAGGACAAAGAAGAGCCAGCTGAGACAGAGGTACCTCTAGAAGACACAGATGGGCTAGACCAGGCTAGGCACAGCCCGAGGAAGAAGAGGAAGAGGGAGCCAGAGTGAGCAAGGGCCAAGGCTGCCGTGCTGCACAGCTGCCGGTACTATCTGGCTGTGAGGGTCCCGATCCTGCCTGTTGGTGGGTGCCCAAGGGTGCTCTGGGCTTTTCCCCGGTAGAGCCCAGCACTGTGGCCCAGCTGCGTGTTCACTGCCTGGGTACACTGGGCTGGGACTGGTTGGTCTGGAGCTGGATCGAGCTTTATTTAACTCCCTGAGCCTTCCTCCCGTCAGGGGTGACCCCAGCTCCCACCAGACCCTGGGGCAGGGACCCATTTGCCGTGGGTCTGTCGCAGAGGGACACAAGGGGATAGACCCCAAAGAGTATTGAAATATTTTTTCAAGGGCATGAATAAATCTTTATTGAAGTGAAACTATCCTGAAGTGCAAGATACGTGGCAGACCCCGGGATCCTGGATCACGTCTACACCTAGAAGCACTCGGATTAGGTCGTGACCCCGAACAGGGCCCGCCTGGCAGCCGCCCCTTCGGTCCCAAGCTCCTGCGGGCTTTAGTCTGCAGTGAACTTCGATCCCGCTGGTAGAGCTGGGTAGGACTGGAGCCCAGTGAGGTGCTGAGCGTCCTCCTAGCAGAGAGCTGCGGCTTTGGCAGAATTAGGCCCTGATCTGCTGTGCCAAAGCCTAGCCCAGCACCCCAAGCCCCTGCTGAGCCCCAGCCCTAGGTCAGCTGCAGGACGCAGTCCGTCTCGGGGTATGGTGGCAGGTTTAAAGCGTATTTCTCCTGGAGCGCAGCGGGCACAAACCTGCCCCCGAGGAAGTGGTAGCGGCCGGCAAAATGCATTGCTGCCTTCTTGGGTGCCGTGAGTGAGATGAGCATGTCGGGCTGGAGACCGTCCGCCTTCCCCTTCTCCACGTCCCCCCCCTGCCCCTCGTCCCCGCCCCAGCCTGCAACGAGCCCCGAGGCCAGGCTGGAGCCGGGAGGACCCTGGCTGGGCACTTGCCTCCGGTGGGTCCGGCCATTACTCACCCGAGGGGATGTCGATGCTGGCGATGGGCACCGTGATGCGCTCAAGGGTGCTGAGGATGCTGCCAAAGGGCTCCCGCACCGCTCCCTTGAAGCTGAACCCGAAAATCGCATCCACCACCAGGCCATAGAGCTCATCGATGAGTGCAGCCTGCGGCGGGGAAGGCAGCGGGTGAAATACAGCCCCGGGCCCAGCTCCAAGGGCGGCTGCTCCCTAGCTGGGGGCTGCTCCTCACCTCAGCCGGGAACTCGGGGAGGAAGGGGATGTCCATCTTCTGGCACTGGGTGGTCAGACCTTCAAACAGGGGCTTGTTGGGGCGCTTGGGGTAATACACGGTCGGCTCGTAGCCCTGCAAGAACAGGAGGGATCTGAACAGCACTTGGGCACCAGGAGCAGCCAGAGGAGCAGGAACCCCAAAGCTTGCGGGTATGGGGCGCACGGGGACGGGCACCCTCCCCGGGGGGAGCATGCAGCCGCCTGCACGAGAGACTCACAAACATTTTCAGGTGTCGGGCGCAGACTAAGAAAGCCCTCCCCGCCGTTGTTCCCCGGCCCACACACGACCAGCACGGCGGGCTGGCTCGTGGTGAAGGAGCTGGGTGGGTAGGCCTGGTGTGGGACAGGAGGCGTAGGGTTACGTGGGGGAAGTGGGGACACGCCGCGGTGCCGGGACCCCCCCAGGACCTCCGTGCCCCC